AGCAGCCGCCCCGGGGCTCCAGCAGGTCGGTGGGAGCCCGAGCCGCGCGCAGGGACGGGGCACCCGCCCCCCCGGGCAGCCCGCGCCGCAAAACGGTGTCCGTGCGTCTGGTCTGAATCGGCCCTGGGGCAGTTAACGCCTTGTCCTGGCGCTGCAGAACCGTGTCCCTGCGAGGTTCGGGAAGGCCACAGCGCGGTCCCTTCAGGCCGAACAACCGCGCTATCCCAGTTATCCCGGTATCCCACAGGAGACGGGCTCTGCTCCTCCGATGCCGCCTCCTCTGCACTCCCTCCAACAGGCCCGTGTCCCCCCTGTGCCGAGGGCTCCCGCTCTGGGGTCTCACCCGGGAGCTGAGGGGCAGGATTCCCTCTTTCCTGCTGGCCACACCTCACGCAGGCCCAGCTGCCTTTCCGGGCTGCGAGTGGCACCCTGCCAGCTTTCCCCCTGCCCGCCTTCCCTCTGCCAGCCCCCCAGCAGGGCTGCTCTCACCCCCTTCACCCCCCAGCCCCTATGCACACCTGCTGGCACCTGCCCACCTGCAGGACCTGGCATGTTGTTGAACCTCATGAGGTTCACACTGGCCCACTTGTCAAGCTTGCCCAGGTCCCTCTGAAGGGCATCCCATCCCTCAGGGATGCTAACTGCACCTCTCAGCTTGGTCATAGGCAAGCCTGATACTATCCCCTTCCCCTTTTGAGTCTAGTTTAAGCTGTCAGTGAGCCCCCACTAACTGCAAAGCAAAAGACCTCTTCCCCTTGGAGAAAGGTAAATACCATCTGACACCAGCAAGGCTGGTGCCATGTAGGCTATCCCATTATTAAAAAAAACAAAATTGTGGCAGTGACACCAGCCACAGAGCCATGTATTAACAGATTATATGCATCTGCTTCTTCCCCTGTCTCTGCCTGCAACTGGAAGGAGAGAAAAAAATATCTGTTCTCCAGGTTCCCTCACCAACCATCCCAAGGCTCTGAAGTCTCTGCTGATCACCCTTGGACTACATGTTGTGGCTTCATCACCAAGCATGTGGAAGATCAGTAATGGGTAATAGTCCAAGGGCTGTACCACACTAGAACTTTCCTAGTCATGTCCTTAACCCAGGCCCCAGAGAGGCAGCAGACTTCCCTATAAGAAGGGTCTGTCCTAGCATATGGGACCTTCTGTTACCTTCAGAAGGGGAGTCACCTACTGCTATAACCTGTCTTTTCTTCCTTGTGGAGATGGTCCTAATATGGGGGGTACGCCTTTCTGACTTTGATGACACCTCTGGTATAGATGGACCATGATCCATTGACTGGTCTTTCACATCCAGAGCATCAAACCTGTTGTACAGAGGCACCAGGGAAGGCCAGGTGGGCAAGATGGGGGGTTTGCCCACAGCCCCAGGCATGGACTTGCCTCCGTTCACTCCTTTCCTTCAAAGTGCTGCCTTTAGCCTGGCAGGGGGAGGATCAAGGATCCCCTGTTTTTTTTTCCTGGTGGCTGTTTCTATCTCTGCGTCAGGGAGGGCACAGAGAGAAACTGGTGCAGCCATGCTTTCTCAGACTCCCTGATTTCTTTCTTCTCTGATATCCCTTTTTACTCTCTCATAGCTCTGCCACAAGGCTGAGCAGATCCTCCACCTGGGTCTTACTGCATAGAGGTGGATATCACAGCTAAGCTCCTTCTGAGGGAGTCAAGACCATGAATGGAACTCAACTCTTGAGCATGTCTGACAGCAGACTGTCACTGCGAACTATCAGTAGAGATCAACGATACGCAGCAGGACTGGAAAAGAGGAGCATTGCCTTCCCAGCCATTGTCAAGTGGATCTAAACAGGAAATCTCAGCCTATGGGCTGGGGCCCAAGCCAAGGTGTCAAGGAAAAAAACCTACCAGAAGTAGATAAGCATGAGCATTGTCACTTTGCAGAAAGCTTGAGCCCTTAAGTGTAGACAGGTTTGAGGAGCAGTGTACCAGCCCTGCCACCAGGACAGCCACTTGGAGAAGATGGCCAGTGCACGTGTTCCATGACATACTACTTCTCACATGTCCTTCTTCATACATACAAGTTTTTTCAGTAGTTTAAAAAGAATTACTAATCCCTTGAAAATGAAGTTGGAAAAAGGTGCTTCACAATTTTAAAATCAGAAAAGATCAAACAGCCTGTAAAACCTAAGTAGTGCACAGTTCACTCCAGTTTTTAGTGTGTTAGAATTAAGGATCGCAGACACTTGCAATACATTTGTTTCATGGCTCAGGAAAAGACAAGGGGGGAACAAAAAATTAGTATTTTATAGCACTCAGCAGTGAATAAAGGACTGAGTTGCAGGAACCACCATTAAACCCGTGAGTGCATCTACTAGTTTCCACACATGAAGAGCTGTTAGGATGAGAAAGAAAACCAGAAGAAAGTCTGCAAAGAAGCACTGACTTTGAAAACTGGAATTTATACATGAGAACTTGGAGAATCTTCTGAAGTAAAACAGACTAAAAATCCACACAACCAGCGATGCACAAGGTATAGGTAGGCAAGCACCACTTTTTAAGTTAACTCAATAGTCTCATAGAAACAGATCTGAAAAATTAGCAAGTTAGAGAAGAAGTGATAAAATTAGGATGAAGATTATTAATAAACTAGCATGGGATCAGGACAGATGCACATATATCATTTGTATAGTTTTCTAGAAGTTGGAAGATGTACACAGTGTTGACACTGATATCTGGACAAGCTGAAGTGCTGGAAGAAATTTACTATCATATTGGCTGGAAACATTTGCAGAACTATATGCTTCTAAATCAGGTATTAATAACCATGTGCAACTTTAGCAGACTTCTATAAAGTATATTTAATTACTTGGTTCATGCCATTTAAAAAACAGTAATTCTCAAGAAGGAAATCAATACATTTGTTGTATTGACTTAACCTTTCCCACTCTTATTCCCATCTTTGCTAACAACTTGGCATCCACAGTATGTACAGTCTGATGCCTATTAAGATATATTGAAAATTAATCCCAGGTTTCCAACTTGCTAATTATAGTGCACAATTATTGTAGACTTCCCCCACCATCCCCCTACCTCAACATAGTAAAAAAAATGAAGGTCTTTCTATGAAAGCTCCCCAAAATGCCAAAGATGTTATTAGCAAAGTGTTTCTCTAATCTATATATATGGCCTAACTTCAAAAATTGATATGCAGTCATGCAAATGATGGAAGAAAGTCACTGGAAGAGGGCAGCTACCAATCTAGAAGCTGTATAACCTATTCCCACTCACCACAGGAATCTTTATTACAATGCTGTCCTTAGTCTTTCCTGGGGAAAATCTTCATTGCGTCCTAGAAAGATTTCTGCAAGTAGGTACAGATGAGAAAAACCTCTGCGCATATTTCTCATGACTCAATCTGGATTTACTCACCTTTATTACATGAAGAAAAACTGCAACTGAACTCGGTAAAGTGTCATTTAACCAGAAACCCTATCTTCATCAAATGCTTTGAGTTCCTCTAAATAATTGGATTTGGTCTATTTTTGACAAGACCACACAGAGTCCTTTTAAAGATGTCATATGATCTCAACTAGGAAAGTCAATTCTCAAAACACATCCCCATCTCTTAAAACAGACAAGAAAATGGGCATGACAAAAATCCATGTTACACGATATGCTGTATATACAAATCTAAAGACTGCATCTCAGTTTTTCATATTACTCAGTTTAACAAGATTCAGTAAAACATGGAAGCAAAGCACCAATAGTCATCTTTCCCCAAGTCCTTGAAGAATGTCACAGCACCTCCTACAAGTCTTCAGGTCTCTAAAGTTTCTTCATTTGCCCCACAAGTGTCTACAACACAAATTAAGCAACTTGTCACTGGGAAAGCACGGACTTTGGAGTTGGCTATCCACTTGTCTGTTTCAGTATTATATTCAAGAATGTGCCCTAAACGACCAACACCCTGAAAACCAGCCAGGACATAGACTATAGATCCCACAGCAGCACACTTCACTGTTACACCTTTCCATGGCATTGGAGACACCATCTTCCATTCATTCATCTTGATATCGTAATATTCTACATTATCAAGGCCACCTACAAAGCAATGAGATAGATAACTGCTTATCACACTATACTGTACAGACGGAACTAGAGCATACAAATGCTTCATTAAACTTTGTGTTTATTTTCAAAATTTAGATTAAAACAAATTTTATAATAAAACACCAAATACATGAAAAAATGCCTCAGGTTTTTAAACTAGTGGTTTGCCCTTTTATAAATGCAGAAAGAAGAGAAAAATGACATTGAAAGGGAGATGTGTTGTAACAAATTTTACATCATGTGCCTTCTAGAGATTCCAACACGTTACTTTGTGAACAGAAGAACTAAAACCAATTAAATTCTTATGGATTTTTGACTAGTGATTAAAAATTAGGAATCCACCTGCAACTTCCTTATAGTAATGGCTTTTTACTCTGAAGGTGTCACAACTTTACCTATTTACTGATAGAGGATGTCCCTTCATGAAGAATAATTGAAGTTAAAAGCCTAAATCCCTTTGGAAAGTGTCAAGTGAATAGAAAGTTACTACAGAAAAGTAGCTTTTGTAACTTAGATTTGCTTCTTTAGGAAACAGGCCAGTAATAACACTTTACAGTATCTACAAACATTCCATTATCCCTAATTTGCAATAGTTACACGAGTCACAGAGTTTTCACTTCGAGTCCTTAACTACTATATCTGAAAGATTAAAAAACCTTTATATAACACTCAGAAGTACCAACATTTAACCTCAGACATAACTCTTCCCAATTATATTATAATAAGAACAATTAAACAGTCAAGCTACAGAATACAAACAGCAAAACAGTAAGTTCACTTACTGGTTCAATAGCACACGCTTCTGAGCGTTCAGCAAATACATTAACATTTTACACAGTGGCAGCTCTTGGCTGTAACTGGTAGTTTTGAAGACAAGTAGAGAGGCAGATCATAAAATGACCAGCCCGTGACAGTAGGTCACATTTCAAAACTAGGGTAGTCAAGAGAATTCTCACTTGTTCTCCACATTAGAATAGCTGACTAGCTTTAAGTCTTTAGACTGAAGTTCCCAAAATAATGGCCACACCTTTACCTATCTCAAAAGAATGCTAAAATCTCTCAAAATACATAATGAAGAACTAAAAAAAAATATATATTTCTCAAATGACTAGTTTAGCTGTATTAACTACTGCAGAACTGGGCTACAGTGTGGATGTGTATCTGAATTTGGCAGTACTGTCACTAGTAAAGAGTTTGGAAAATAAGAGACAGTGAAGTAGGAAGGTGAAAGGAAGGCAAGCAACAATGACGTGACAGCAACAGGACATATTTTATGGCACTGCTCAAAGTTTTTTAGCCAAATAGAGTAGAATAAATTCTTTGCAAATGAACAAAGGTCCCCACTAAACTTTGTTACCAGCTAGAAAATTAAAAGAATTGAAGTACCTAAGCCATTTTGTCCACCCACAGCAAATATTTTGTCCTTTACAAACACCAGCCCATGATTCTTCCTGGCTTCAATCATTGGACAGAGCTCAGTCCACCTGAGGAAAAAGAAACAAAAAAACCCCAAGAAAATTCACTATTTAGTTCCTAGAAAATAAGTATGTAAATATGTAAAAAAAAAATAAATATACAAATAAAACTTAGCATTAGGAAAATGAAATACAGAAGAAAGCTGCTTAAGAAAAAATGCCTTTTAAGTAAAACTAAAAATAACTGATTTACTACTGCTTAACTTATGAAAATTCCTTACCACATACAATTCTTCCTATTCTATAACTGCCTTAAAACTTCAGTTATTTACAGAGTGGGCAAAGCCGAAAGTCACCAAAAATAACCAGAATTTCTACCATACTTACGTTTCAGTGGCCGGATCATAGACTTCACAGGAATTTAGGACTCTTCCAGAAACATTGTTTCCTAAGCTTCCTCCACAAACATAAATGAGACCATTTGCTTCTACCATTCCATGGCTGCATCGCTGAGTCAGCATGCTGGGCTTGGTGTGCCAGCTTTCTGTTCTTGTGTCGTAGCATTCGAATAAATACAGGGCTGAATTTCCTTTAAAAAAACAGAAACCCACCAAAGGGGCATTAATTTTAATTGTTGTCTTTCAAGAGAAGAGCTAACAGTAACTATCAAGTTGGTACTTTTCTTGTTAGTTGAAAAGGGAAAGCTGCTTTCCTACCTCCAAAAAGCAGAACTAATCAACTTGAAACTTGGTAATTCTTTTGACTCTGTTATTCCAAAATATGCAAGTAAATTTATAAAATTGTTATTTGTATTTGAAAACAAAGATGATGAGGATTATTCTTTCTAGGGAGGGGCAGGGATGGCAGAGTAAACACTGAATAGAGAGGTACCTAAAACACTAATCCTGTTGTCATCATCTCATGCTACTCTCACTACTTGGAAAGGCATTTCCCTTTCACAAGTGAAGATGAAAACAGCTTGGCAAACTTAGTACAGATTCACATAAGCCTCTATTCTCTAAGCAATGTGACTTGCCCAACTCACAGAATACTTTTTGCCATTGGAATGAGGTAGCTTGATTGTGTTATAACACACTCCTGAATTATTAGCAACCATAAGATGGCTACCCCTCATCATTTTGCTTTCTTCCTGGGGTCTGGCAGATACACATTTTCTGGAAGTGCAAGGTCTGTGTACTCCTCCCTCAAGGGCCAATAAACCCATTACTGAAATCAAAAGCAATTTTTCTAATGAAGACAGACAAGAGGTTGAAGTCTTGTGCTCAGGTAACTAGCCAAACTGTAGCAAAAGCAGGGAAGGCTGGATACAACTTTTCAGAAGAGAATCAGAATCCTCTCCCCTTTTAATAAATATATTCATCTACAACAGTTAAAGGTGCCTTTTCTTTGTGCCTGTTTCCTTTCTCCTTTTAAAAATAAAGCACGTCACACTAGCAGCACTTACTACTAGCTGGTATTTGAACCCTGCTATTTTTCTAGACCCAAAATACAAGAGTAAAATTTATCAAACCATGCATTTGGTTACCCCTACCACGTAATTCTCAAAATAACTGTATAAAGTAAGATATATTTTTTCTTTGATGCAAATACAAATCCTTGATGTAAGTCCTTATTACTCTGAAGCTGTAGAAATGCTGATCTATAGGAAACACAGCAGAACTGTCTTTAATGTCTTTTTTTTAAAGAGGGAGAAGCCTCAGTTTTCAGTATGCTGTCAGTATAATGTTCAATACATTGAAAGATTTCAGTGTGTTTAGCTTTCAGACTGCTAGCTACTGCAAATAAAACAGCACTCCCATCCACTCAAAAGGGAAAAAAGCCTTGTTTTCTCTAATAGGCTGGCACAGTAATTTTTTTCCTAAACTCTTCAATCCATGCAAAAAGCATATAATTTTTAGATTTCTTTACAGCTAAACACACTGCAACACTTTCTCTGATTAATGGTTTTGCATAATTGCCTTCTCCAAATTAGAAAACACTAGATTCAGGATATACAGACATTTCCAAACAAGCAGAATTCACTGGATTCCGAAGAAAAAAAAAAAAAAAAGTACAGGCAAAATAAACTCCATTGGCAATTTTTAGCTTTTATGATTGTCTTGAATAAAATTTATAGAAAGCAGAGTGCAGCTGTGCAGTAATGTGAGGGTAGATTTAAAAGAAAACTCCTAAATTAAAGATTTCCATTAGTTGTATTAACTAATTATATCGTATTTAAAATAACACTCTGTAATCAAAGTTTGTACAATGCTCCCTCATGAACTGACAAGTGGGAAACTAGGAAGACTTAATTTTGTAGTGTTCCCAGTTTCCCTGTGCAGCCTTCTTTAAGCATATTTCAACTGAAGGGAGAGGTGCTGTTTCACGTTTATCACACTAGGTGGCAGTCAGGAAGTGTCTAATCTGCTGCTCCCTTAGACCTCTTCACCTATTTTAAGAGGTCAGATAACGGGAAGTTGTGACACTCAGGTGACGTCAAGTGACTTATGAAAACATTAAGCACCTCCGCAGCAAGGCAGAGCACAAGGGGATCTATTAAGAAGTTTCTCCCTGACTCTAGGGATTGGGGTTTTTGGGTCGTTTGGGTTTTTTTTTTTGTTGTTGTTTCCCCACTACCCCCTAAAAAAACCCACAAACAAACAACAAAAAAACCCCAACACAAAACCAACCCAAACAGAGCTTTTTTTTTTTTAAGCTCTATATTTTTATATATAGCTATGTATGGCTATCACACACGTAAATGCCAACTTTGGGTTTGCTGATTGATGTATTGGACTTCGAAAATCTTTTTAAAATGTTGCTACAACACATAGCCTAAGTCACTCACTAGGTTTCTCAGGCAGAGGAAAAAAAAACCCCAGTTCTTAATTTTTTTTTACTCTGCAGAGTAGTAACATCTAAAGAAAGAAGTATTTCTCCATTTGCTGAAGCAAACCAGCAGAGTAGCAAATTAACAAAAGGTAATTTCTGTCATTGGACAGAAAAATTGGACAAATTCTTCTACAGGGTCAGGTATAATATTACTACCCAAAGCAGTAGTTGCAGAAGATTTTTTCACCATTTTTTTTCCCCTTAAAAAACCCTAATTAGGCCCAACATACACAAGGCATGCCCTTGTCAAAATCTGGCCTAATGGCACAAATTTTAAACCATACTTAATTCTGCAGATGTATAGAAGTAATCTAAGAATAGAGTGGGATTCTCAAAATATAATTGCTTGTCCCTAGTTAGCTCTTAGGAGTTAGAGTACTTTATGCTCTAGTTGATGTAAATACTAATAATTTCAATCAGTGAAACCATATTAAAAACACCACAGAAATAGATTGTTGGATTGTGGGGAGGATTCAATCCCAAGTATCAGAAAATAAACTCATTAAGCTAACATGGCAACGTGCAGTTTCTTTTCAACAGTCATGCAAAAACCAGAAAAAATTCCAGGTATTTTGTTTGTACTTTTTTTTTGTTTGTTTGTTTTAAAGATTTTTAGTGTCTTACCCACTTCTGAACCACCAGATGTATAAATTTTGCCCTCAGCAGCACAGGCTGCAAGGCTATCTCGAGGTGTTGGAGGTCCTAGCTTGGAATACCAGCTATCCTTCACCACATTGTAGCAGTCCATTCGCTTTATAGGGAAGAGCTGGGAACCACCCAAAATATAAACTACGTTGTCCCAGAAGACACAAGCTGCATCCCTGCGCTTTTCAAAGGGACATCGGATGTCTGTCCAGCTGTAATCCTGCATTACAAAGAACAAGTAATGTCTAATAGATTATAACACTTACCTGCACAGCGAGTGTTTTTCAAACAGAGCTTTTCATAGAGATTTAGATACGGTCAGTTTTAAAGATCCTTTTCAAAACAAACATGAACACTGTTTATTGAAGAATATTCCTCAGGCGTACTCTTGAAAAATTCTCTTAGACACAGACATAGTTAGCTGCAATGAACCATGACATTATCAATTTCTATTTCCTCATTCCCTGTGTGCACCCAGTACAACTTCCTGAAAAACATTTTTTCCAACAAAATTGACCTCCTGTTGCTATCATGGCAGAAACAATGGATGTGATCAATAAAGTAGGATTTCATTTTCTTTTATAGGAATGGAAAAAGACATCTTACATATAACAGATTCTTTCTAAAATAAAATACAGAATGTACCAAAGGCAATGGAAAAAGAAGAAGGTAATATCCAAATTGACAAGCAACTCAGTTAAAAAACTCCGATACATACTTTATTACCATGACAACTAAGTGATTATTTACAGAATTTACAAAACACAAACGATCTACAGCTATCCACAGTTGATAGCATGAGAAAGAATAATGTTCCATCACAAATACTGGCAGTCATGTTGCCTAAAAACTGATTTTGCATGGATCGGCAAAACCAGCAGGTATCAAATATGGGCAGCAATGCCACCCAACGCCTTAAAAACACCAAACTCAGCAACTGATGGCAGACCAGGATAGCATACAGCACAAGAAACACTTTTTTGAGTAATAGCATCTCACATATTCCATGAGCATAGCTTGTATCCTATACTGAACAGGAAAGTATGGAATCTTAACCGTTATCCGTGTCACCTCAGGATGGTCTAGCTAAATCTGCGGAATGACCTTCATTGGAATGGTTCACACGAGACGTTACATCATTACATTTTCTTAGCAAGGACATACTTCAAACACCTTGGTCAATGAGCAAGAATAGCGACTCCTACATGGGGGTTCAAAGAAAGAGAGGCAGAGCATGTTACAGTCCAAAGCATCTTACAATCTTTTCTTGTAGCATCCCCCATATCAAGAAGAGCTGGCAGGTGCATGTGGCCCTTTATGGTGACATACAGGTCCTCGGGCATCCTAGAAAGGAAAGCCATACTACAGCATGGCAAAATAAATAGCTGCATAAATCTTAAGAATATGTCTTAGCGCATTGTGCAAGATCAACATATTTTCTAGCTCAAACTTCTGGCACTTTTGCAAAAAAACCCCTGTTTTTCCTTTGCTGTTCTAAAGGGCTGTGATCTGACCCACTTTTATAACTTCAGTTCATTGCTACCATTTCAGCCACATTTTTATCAAATGAAAGCCACGGGTTCTCCCATCACCTGAGCATACTCAGCAGTATCCTCCTCTTTCAGCAG